TTATTTGTGAGGCTCTCGAATATCATCTTAATACAAGAGTATGACTGTTCTTTGAGTTGTAAGTTTTGCCAATCATTCCTAAGCTTATAAGCGGTGAATGATTGTGTGTCTTTGAAGTGTGACTTCTGTATTTTCTAATTATTTTAAATTGTATTCTTGTCACTGTCTGTGACTAGAAGGGATTTGAGAAGGATCTTATACCTAGGTGAGTATTAGGTAGACGTTAAGCACGGGTAGTGATTAAGTGAGTAGATTGTAAACTAGTGATATTTTGTCATGGGTCTACAAATTGATATTATTTAGTTGATTTCGTCCCTGGCTTGGTAGCCCTCATAGTAGGTTTTGTTGTACTCCAAACTAGGTTAACAATTACGCATGTTGTTTACTTTTTGCACTGTTAATTGTTGTTTTAAATTGTTCATTGCATTGTTATTCAGAGATTAGTGTCTCAATATCTCTTAGGATATCTGAGTTCATACTACCAGAATTTCATAGAAGACTATCAATCATGCTTCTATATAAACTCTAATCAATATTAACTTTGTTTTCATCTTTGGATAACTTGAAGTGTGTAGTAGCAAGCATTCTTTTATGGCTGGCATTCTCCAATCCAAATTTCTTAACAATATTCTTTGCATATTTTCTTTTTCAAAGAAAGATGGAGTCTTCCATCTGCTTGACTTGTAGACCAAGAAAGTATGTTAATTCATCTACCAAACTAATTTCAAACTCAAATTGCATCTTCTTAACAAAATGTTGGACTATCTCTTCTGACATCCTTCCAAAAACAATGTCATTCACATAGATCTGAGCTATCATTAGTTTTTCACCTTTCTCTTTGACAAAAAGAGTCTTATCAATTCCATCCTTTCTATATCCATGATTAATGAGAAACTCAGTCAACCTCTCATACCAAGCTCTTGAAGCTTGTTTTAACCCATACAAGTCCTTCTTTAGTTTAATCGGATTATTTAGGAAAGTAGGATCAACAAATCACTTTGGTTGTTCAATATATACTTCTTCATTAAGATAGCCATTTATGAAAGCACTCTTAACATCCATTTGGAACAACTTGAACTTTAAAAGACATGCCACTCCAAGTAACAACCTGATAAATTCCAAGCGAGCTACATGAGTAAATGTTTCATCAAAGTCCACTCCCTTAATTTAAGTGTATCCTTGAGCTACAAGTCTGGCTTTGTTTCTTATAACAACTCCTTGTTCATCTGACTTGTTCTTATACACTCATTTAGTACCAATAACATTTTTTCCTCCAGATCTTGGTACAATGTCCCAAACCTCATTTCTCTTGAATTGAACAAGTTCATCTTGCATAGAACTAACTAGAACTCATCAGTCAAGGTCTCCTTGATATTATTTGGTTCAAATTGTGAAATAAAGCAAGCATTTGACACAACTTATCTTGATCTGGTGATCACTCCTTCATTCAGATTCCCTATTATAAGCTCCTTAGGATGATCTTTCTGAATCCTGATTGAGGGTCCTTTTTCAACTGTCTCAAATTCTTCAGGTTCAGTATTAGTACACGAGTCTGCAACATCTTCAAGAACATCATCATTCATGGGAATAGATGTTTCAACATCTTCTATGACATAAGCTTATTTTGTTGAGTCATCAACAACCACATTTATGGAATTCATCATCACCTTAGTTTTGGAGTTGAATACTCTATATGCTTTACTATTTGTAGAGTATCCCGAAAAAATTCCCTCTTCAATTTTAGGATCACTTTTCCTTGGCTAGTCTTTTCTTCAGTTCTGGACCTTCTCCCAAAATCTTGATTTTTGTTGATGTCAATGACTTGTTCTTGACATTTGATCTTAACTTCCAGTCCATCTTCTTCATCATTTTGTTGAATTGTCTTCCAAGTAACACAATAGTATTTGATATCCCTTCATATGTATCCAGGTCACATTCATCATCTAAGTCTTCAGCATTAGAGACAAAAACAATGATTTTCTTATTTTCATACTTTTCACTTATCACTCATTCAAAGGCCTGTAAGGATCTCATAAGCTCGTCAACTTTCATGTTGTTTATATCTTGGACTTCTTCAATATAATTTACCTTCATATCAAACCTCTTTGAAAGAGATCTGGGAATTTTTTAAACCAACTTAGCTTCTGACATCTTTTCCCATAGAGCACTTGAGGCATTGGCTATCTCAATAATATTCATATGAAAATGCCGTCATTCTCTTTCATTCTTAAGTTCTCAAACTTGGTGGTAAGAAGTTGAAGTCTTGACATCTTCACTTTAGAGGTTCCTTCATGAGCAGTCGTCAATATCTCCTAAGCTTCTTTAGCAATAGTGAAATACTTATCAGTCATAAGATATTCCTGTCCACTCCATTGAACAAGGCATTCAATACTTTGGAGTTTCCCTGAACTAATTTATCATCTTCATCATTCCAGTCCTCCTCATCCTTCAACACATCAATCATCTTTACATCCTTATCTCTAGCCATTGGTGGATCTCATCCCTTGACCATAGATCTCCAAGCCTTATTGTCCATAATAAAAGCCACCATACGAGCTTTCCAATAATCATAGTTGATTCCATCAAGAATGAATGGTCTGTTCACAAATCCTCCTTCCTTGTTCATTGTACCAGAAAGTATCTTCACTAAATCTCACCCATATACAGAGAATGATGCATGCTCTGATACCAATTGAAATTCTGGTATACAGATATCAGATGTACGAAGAGATGTCAAGACACTGATATCTGATCAAAATATAATGACAAGATAAACACGTTTAAGAATACTGAAAGTAAACAAACACACATAATTTTTTTACCCAGTTCGGTGTACAATAAACCTACGTCTAGGGATACCAAGCCAGGGAGAAAGTCCACTAAATAGTATCAGTTTGTAGACCCACAATAAACTATCACAAGTTTATAATCTACTCACTTAATCACTACTCATGCTTAACTTCTACCTAAGTCTTACTTAGGTATGAGACTCTTCTCAATTCCCTTTCAATCACAACAGTGATGAAAACACTAATACTTAGAATATTTTAGAAGTCACACTTCAAGGACACACAATCACTCAATACTTAAAAGTTTAAGAATGGTTAACAAAACATAAAACTCAATAGAGACAGTCCTACTCTTATATCAAGATAATATTATAGAGGCTCACAATTAACACACAAATCCTAAAACAATAACATGTTTCACACCAAATTAGGTTTGAGCCATTCTATTTATAAGCATAAGTCTGGACTGGATTTTGGGCTTCAAAAACGCAGTAAGGAGGCTGCTAAAAGTCTGCAGAAGATTCTGCATAAAAATAGGTCTTCAATCAAGAGTTTCCTAAAATGTCTCTAAATTTAGAAACTCATAATATCTTTGAATTTCAAATAGAGTCTTTGATTCCTCAATCTTGATTGCCACATAGGATAACATAATATTCACAGAATATTCAGTAACCAAATAAATCCAAACTATAAACTGTGAAAATGTAACAGACACGATGTCGAATCTTCTGGATAGGACATCTTGTTCAACATGTTTCACTGCAAATTAGAACATCTTATTCAACATGTTACTGCCAAGTTAATTTTACCAAAATTAATGTCAATCATAAAAATAGAGAATTAACAATATCAATAAGTATCAAACTCAATACCTCAGGATTTACAACAATCAAAGACAGTGTGCACTAACCATTTGTACTACACCCTAATGATGATAAGTGTTCTATAACATGTAGTATGTGTTTGGATTCTCTCCAAATTGTTAAAATCACATTAGAAAATCACATCAACTCAAAAGCTCCAAATAACGATTTCATAAATTTTTATATTTTTTTGCGTTGGAAGTAGTTTTAGTTGAAAAATCACATCAACTCAAAAGCTCCAAATAACGACTTCATAATTTTCACATTTTTTTGCATCGGATGTAGTTTTTAAATGTGATTAGATTTTATAACGCGAAACCAAACACATACGTAAAAATTATAGCATTATTCAAACTAGTTGCATTAGATGTAGTTTTTAAACGTGATTTGGTTTTATAACACGAAACCAAACACATACATAAAAATTATAGCATTATTCAAACGAGAGATGTAAATAAATATCTATGGAGACTGATAGTATGATATACGTGTCTATTCTGTTTAATAAATATAATATTCATATTTATTTCATATTCGTACGAATATCTGCTAAACGGATAATCCGCGAGTTTTAAAATATCCATAGATATTTACAGATATCCATAGATAACATTTTTTTCTAAAATTATTTTTTAAAAATAAAAACTCTTCAGCTTCTTTTATAGACACAAAAAACTATTGTCTATAAAATCCATACACTTTACTCTTATTTTAATAACAAAATCTCGTCACGTTATTACAAGTTTAATTTCCTTTTTTAAATAAATTTAAACTAATGATATTTAAGTAATTTTATAATTTATTATCGGATACATATCATTAAATCCAAATTCATATCCATTTAAACGTAGATATCTATTAAACTGTCCGCCTCATACCCGTGATGGATTTTATCCCTGAATTTTTTTGTCATTCCTAATTCAAACACGTAATTAGCTAATCAGAACTTGGTCCATAGATCCACACCAAGACCTTGTAAGAATCAAATCTGAAAAATGACATAATTGAAAATTAAAAACAGAATCTCTCCACCTAAGTACACGGACAGAAAAGATTGAACATTTAAGCATCCAAATTTGCAATATCTAGAATTTGACTTCTACAACCAAGGAATATAACATACCTGAACTTCTTATAGCTCCAGATAAACTCTTGATCTCTCGATTACAATTTACATAAAATATTCTTGAAAATAGCCTAAGCATAAACAAAAACTCATCTAATTTCCTAACCTAGCAACAGTTTCATGAATTTCACGGCTCAAAGTAATATATAAGTGTGCAAGCAAAGACATAAGAGCTTTTCTTGACAGACTAGCTTGCATAAGGTATATGATAATGTTTAGTGATCAGAGTTTAAACAAGACTACAATAAGCAGAAAGTAAAACAAGAAAACAAGCAATGAATTTGGATAACGGACGGGTGAAGCAGATTTAGAGAACTGAACAGATCCAGTAAAGCCTCCACTACCGCCAGTGATGCTCGCTGGACTTGTACCAGGTACAGAAATATTCTTGCAAGATCCATAAGTTGCACCTGCCTGCAGAATTTCAAAAATAATGTGATTGACTTTACTAAAATTTATGTTCAAGAAAATGTACGAGTAGAGGCTGCGCCGAGATAAACGCCGACCTTCATAAAGGAATCCGGGAGATCAGAGTAAGACACAAATAAGGAATTAACAGAATACTGAAGATTCAGAAACTAAGCGCCTAAAGGAAAGAAACCCAGACAAACCTGGCAAGCAGCAACTGTACTACATCCACACAATGAGTGGCCATTCATTTTATCCACAATATCAAAAACACCTCCGCCGTCACTCCTCTGGGATAATTTTCAATCAAAATGTTAAAGTGTATGCAACATGAGTGTTATAATTAAGTTTCCATTAACAACGCTGAAAAATGAGGAATACCATGTAAAAGTTAACAGCTATGAAGTTAGGCACCACATTCCCTGCAGCTTTATAACATGTATTCACCATCTCAGCAAGTGGAGCGGAATGCTCTTTGCACGAGTCAGCTTGAACCGGATATGTTGGAAAGTAATTCATCAAGAAAAGCGATGCACCTTTAGAGTTTAATGCCTTTGATTCTTTCCTATGTGGACAAGAACCCTTTTGAACTCCGGGGTCTCCAGCTGAAAACAAGTGAATCATGAAATTTTCATTGAAAATTATGTATAAAGAAGTTTTATATATACACATGTAAATGGTATTGCGCTTACACTCATTTTCAACCAAGTGCTTCCATTGATAAGCTATTCCTTCTTGAGCTTCCTTCGAAGCATCAGAAGTGAAAACAATAAGTCGATGATTCATTTGAACCATCTCGGTTACAGTAGGCCAGTCATCTCCTTTCTTTGGCATCTTGGACACAGGAAACCAATACTTATCCAATCCAGCACTTGTGAACAAATTCGTCAACCCCTTTGGAGTATGCACATAGTCTTCAATTATGATGGTAACAAGCTCAGTTGGATTTTGCGTCAAGAATGCTTCCACTTCTTTCAAAGTATTGATTGCAGGTTGCTGAAAGCAACAACATTTCAGCAGTTACAACCACGCAAGCGCATGACAGGAACACAAAAAAAGCAAACTTAGATTGTAAAATCGGTATAACAAAGAGGGTTTGAGTTAGATTACAAAGGCAGTGAAGTTGAAGCATTGCCCTCGAAACGAATGACAGAGCCAGATATCATTTTGAAAGTCGTACATATCCAACATTAATCCTCGAACTCCATTCTAAATCATCAAAAACAAACAAACAAACAAACAATACAACAAATAATAAAATTCCCAAAACACACACCCACACACACAAAACATTGTCAAGCTGGATTAGAATAGAACCCAACTTAATCCAGCAAAACCATTCAACACCATTCAACTGCAAGCACAATACCGATTACGAATTCACACATACCCTCAACTGATTAGTTACACTATCTTCTTGATTATAAAATGTTAATCTCTGAACACCCGGCAAAGGAGGCGAATCAACAATGCTGAAGGCATTGTGAGTCACTATCCATGAGTACTTATTGAAAGGCAATCCATTCACCTGCTCCATGCCACAAAAGGTAAAGTAGAATCACAATCACAAGCTATACTTCAAATTGAAGTCATCAGGTATCCAACACCAACACGTCAGTGTCGAGTGTTTGTATATTTATGTATGTGCTTTGCATATCACAAAAGGTTAATTTTTTTTAAAAACCCACATGCTTTTTAAGCTTCAAAAGTAAAGAAAAGTTTGCATAAGTGAAAGGAATGAACTTACAGTGGATGTGGGAAGAATAGGCTGCCCTCTGGTACAGATGGGTTGGTTCAATCCCAAAGCAGGACAATTACCACAAAAAAGACCCGACCCACAATCCGTAGCAGCAGAACAAGCTTCCAGAACCTGCTACATTCAGCTAAGTACGAAAGAAAAAAGCAAATTTTCACAGATCTCTTGTATTGAAAGGTAAAAAAGAAAGAACCTGACAATTGCCGTTAGAACATGCGGTGGATGAGGAGAATAAAAGTGAAGAGATGAGTGGTAAAAGGAAGAAGATTGTGGTGGTTAGTGCTCTGCATTTTGAACGGAAATGTGAACACATGGTTAGGTAGCTTTTGCTGCAGAGCACTATGAATGAAACTAAGCTACAAAGGTTGAAACTTGAGAAACAAATGTATATAAAATATAGAACAAAGATAGATAATTCAACTTTGGTGGTGATGGATCATTTGTGCTTAAAATGGTAACAGCTGATTAACGGGTTTGCTTTTGTTTAGTGATGGAATCAAACTCATCTTATTTTTATTTTTGAAAAATAGAAATAAGTAGAAGCGTTTATGGCCGATTTAGTTCAGTTTTGAAAAAATCTGATATATATTTATATTGATAAAAAATATATGAATTGATTTGGATTAGACATTAATATTTTTTTTGATAAAAAATTCAAATCGAATCAAACCGAAATATAACGTGATGACTTGAGTTGGATTGATCAGACAAGTGTGCAAAAAATATTTTTAAAAATATTTAATTCACATCAATTAATTTTTTATAATATTATAAAAATTTTAATTTTTTCGTTTCTCTATTTAGATTGTGAGTGTCAAAAAATAATATTTCATTTTTTTAGAGTTGAATATCTTATACTAGTTTCCATAATAATGATGATATGAATTTGGCAAAATACTCTTTTTGGTACTCTATCTTAACGTCAAGGTTCATTTTGGTTTATTAATTTTAAAAAAGTTTATATTGGTCATTTAACTCTTCAAAACGCTTTATTTTAGTTCTTTTTGTCTAATTAGTGACGGAAAAACTCAGAAATCGATCGCTAAATTCATCGCTAATTAGACAAAAGGGACTAAAATGAAGCGTTTTGAAGAGTTAAGGGACCAATATAAACTTTTTTTAAGTTAAGGGACTAAAATGCTTTATATGTGTATCATCCGAGCTGAATCAGCCTTTGGTGTCTTTATGAAAGTTGTAGCCCTAGATTTATCTTTCATTTGAGGTTGATCCCACGTCATTCTAAGTTACGACGCTCTAGTTATGATCAAAATATCGCACGCCTGCCATGATGAAAAACATGCTGAAATTTTCCATATCTCACATCTTTCTGAAAATTCTCCGCGTTCCTTTTCCGGTCATATCATTGACTTCCTCCGACCTACAAAACACGTTAACCTTCCCAAAAAGATCAAAAATATTTGAAGTGATTAAAACACAGATAAATACGGAATTAAAGAAACCGACATATAAATCACTAAGACTATATGAAAAATACAAATAACTCGCCTACTTTCACCTGTTAAAATGATAATAAATATAGCAGAAATGGTGACTGATCATCTTGTCTTGTTACTTGCTAAATTTATTCTAAATTCATGTTGAATTCATGTTGCATATTTTATAATGATAATGTATCTTGTAGTATGTTGTGTGTTATGTTATGTGTATGTGAATGCTTGATATTGTATATGATAATTAGCAAATAAGATAATTTGATAAGTAATAAACACCTAATTTTATTTTTCGCATTGCCTCTTTACCTGTCTTTTTATTTTTATAAAGGGGGGAAATATACTCTCAAGGGAGAATTGCAGCGGTAAAAACTTGAGACTAAGTCATTGATTGACTTAGCTCGTACAATAAAGTCGTCACCATACTTTATTGTTTTCAAAGAGGAAATAGGAAAAGAGCGAATAAAACCTAAATAGAATAGAGATCTAGATACGGGGCCAGTTATACAAATGGAAGGTATTAGCACCCAAAACATCAATTGTATTCAACGGGGTCTACTATGTTCGTTCTAATCAAAGGGGTGTGTTATCTAAAGCATAAACTTGCTAAAGGGATGAAATGCAAAGTATATACAAAAAAGAAAACTTTTTATTAATGTGTCTACCGCGGTTGTGAACCTTTACGCCTACGTACCCTCTTCGTACAATGAGAGATCTGAGCACTCGTAGTTCACCTCAAAAGGTGTTTTAGTTTGTTGTGTGTTTTTTATGAACAATGCTGGCGAATCATGTTCTTTTGAAAGTTTTCAAAAGAAAAAGCTCCGAAGGGGAAAGAAAGCTTGATTGGTTTTTATTTTTTTACCTTGAAAAAAGATTTGATGATTTGAACCACATTATGACATAAGAGATTTTGAATGGTCAAGTCAGAGGCCTCGTATCCAGAGTACTCCACACGTGCTTAAGGCTCATGGCACATGGTTCGCCTCTTTATTGTTAAGTGTTTTTTTAGTTTTGATTGAGAAAAAGAAGTTTTAGTTTTAAAAAGATGCAAAAAAGAAAGAAAAAGACTAAAGGGAATCTAGAAAGAAACTTAAAGTTGTCATGCTATGATGTCCCTAAAGTTAGGATAAAAGGGAAGTATCTACCTAAGTTTAACATGCAAAAGATGGACCTATAATTAAGATCTTGCAAATTAAAGAAGATGGACAATAGATGAAGAGACTATCCTAAAGCATAGAGTAAAAACTAAAGTGAGGGAAAGTCTAACCAACAAGAAGCTAACACTTGACATAAAGAAGTCAATGTAGAATTCTTATCCTTTAGATTAAAGCCACGAGTACCAAATAGACTAAGAGCATATTAATCATCCCTGTGAAAATAAATCACAAGCAAAGAAGTATCAAAGAAACCCCAAGGTTTTAAAACCCAAAACAAGGTCTTCAATATTGAGCCATGTGCCATATAGATTACTTAAGGCCAACAAAATAACACCTGCATACAAAATATTTCCCAATACAAGCAAAATAACAATGAAATAACACAAGGTGTGAAGGTCTCAAGGTGTCAAAGTATCGGGGCAAGACTTTTAATCCTAAGTCCAAGAGATCCACCACTCCAATATGGTAAGGATAATAACCAATGGTCCATAAAGAGCCTTAAGTCTTTTAATGTTCAAGTTGGTTATTAAGTGTCTTAAGAAGAAAAAGAAAGCTCAAGTGAGCAAAGATAAAAATGACATAAAAATAAATGATGAAGCGAGCAAAAGACAAATAGCATGAAATGTAAATGGTAAAGATAAAAGTGCATAAAAGTAAAGGTGTAAAGATAAAGGCATAAAGTAAAGTTAATTATTAATGGTTAGTAAGTTAATTGTTAATAGTCATAAAGTATGATCAATAGTGATTGAATGATGATCTTAGACCAAGGATAATGAAAACTCATTAGAGGATTGATAAAATCAAATCCTTATAACAAAAAGTTTCATAAGTATTGGACTAAAGATGACCAGTCAACCACACTTGGGCTTACAAACATAAAGTTTTGACCATGAATGATCATTTTCTGAATCGGGACAAATTTAGCGTTATGTTAAGCAATCGTAAGTGGACTTATGTAGAAGTCGCACTTATTTTAAGGTCGTTCAATAGAAATGTATGTACCATACATGTTAAAGACATGGTAGAAACCAAGCTCCTAAAACATGTAGCACAAGTAAAAACAAGAATAAATAAGAAAAGGGTGAAGAAGAGATTAATTTTATAATAAATTATCAATGATAATTCAAGATTGAACTTAGGTAAAAGTTGATGAAGAATTTTTAGAGGATTCATAAAATCAAATCCTCCTAACAACAAGGTTCAAAGGTTTTGAACCATGGTTCAATAATCAGTCATACTTAGACAATTTCAAGTCTAAAGCTCGGGCCACAAATGATTACTTAAAATGAAAGAAGAAAGGGATGATATGAAGAGGGAGGGAATGAGAAGTTAATTTGGATCACATCCTCAAATTCTTTCATCTTCAAGTTCAATCACTCATAATTGATGGATTAAATCACTAAATATATCGCTAATTCAAAGCACCAAGAATGAATTAAATAATTTACTCTAAGATAGAATTGAATTAATGAATGTTTATCCAACTTCATCTACATTCTAAGTCTATTGAATTTGAAGAGAAATTGCACATTTAAAATTGCAATCCAAAACAACAAACAAAAGAAAGGAGTTGGAAAAAGAAAAGGAACCAAAACAGTATTAAAACAAAGCAAAAAAGTGCATGCTACCTTCAGGAAATCGATTTCCATTTTAGGGGTAATCGATTTCCTATGCTGATTTTTCAAAAATCTAGTGCAAAAACAGTTGAGGAAATCGATTACCCTATATATGGAAATCGATTTCCGCTACTGAAAAACCAGAAAACATCTTTTTAAAAGAGTAAATTCTTGATCAAACTTTTTATCAAACACCTTATGATCATAGATGAAATTATGGTATAACAGAACTCAGATGTCCTATAGGATGTCGAGACATCTGATATGAACATAACAACACAGGTAAGGTATAAACAATGAAAACAGTATTGAAAATCATAAACAACACACCAGAACTGTTAACCCAGTTCAAAGCAACTCTTTTACTCTGGAGGCATACCAAGACAGAGACATATCCACTGTGATATTATTAATTTAAAGCTAAACTCCCCCATTTACAACTTCTCACTTAATCACTACCCGTGTTATATTTCTACCTAAGACTCACCTAGGTATGAGGCCCTCCTCAATCCCTCTTCAATCACAGACAACAATTGGACACAAACAATTCTGAATAAATAGGAAGACACACTTCCATGACAATACCTAGCTAACACTTAAAGTTAAACTCCACCAATTACAACTTTACTCCTAACTAAGAACACAACTTTGAGTTTCTTACAAGCTTTCTCCCAGAACAAGACTCAACTTATTACCTACAGGTTTCTGAGTGAGAACATAGTAACCATCTCACAACCCGAGTGGTTCACATAGACAAAGCCATAATGACCTACATCTTGGACCCATACCAAACTAGGTTACAAACCCTTCTATTTATAACCTATTCCCAACTGGACTTGGGCTTCTAATCGCAACATATCAGTGGTTACAAACCAGCAGAAACTTCTGCTACAAACAAGGTCTTCAATCATTTGTTTCCTAAATAATCTCCATATTCAGAAACTGTATAATATTCAATATTTTGACTTGATCTTGACCTTTAATTCAGAACCATGTAGGATTGCATAATATTCCCAGAATATTCTACATCAGTTAAATCATAACAAAATATAATTGTCCACTTCAGCTCAGGCGCGATATTGTATGCTC